ACTCAACATGAGCTAGCTTAATGTGAGATAGTTCTGGGCAAAACATACAGTCCTTACTCAAAAATATAAATTATTTTTCCCCTTTTATTTTGAAATATATTTGGTCAATAGGAAATTGTTTAGATGTCTGTAATAAACTTTACTGTATACATCAATTTTAAAGATCTTTCACGAGAAGTGAGTATTCGTTTTTCATCGATTCTGAAAAAATACTCTTTTTGAATTAATACACTACTGTATTAACAGTGCCATGAGTTTTGTACTGGATGTAGTGTGTCCAGTTGATACTCGCATGACAACACTGTATTTTGCATGTTCTTAGCGAATCAACTTCACTCGCCAGTTAACGTAAGATCGACATTAAATAAATCGTCGCTTAGCGAAAGAACTTTCTTCACAACAAGAAATCAACCAGAAACATAAAAATATTTCATGGAAATGATAAAAAACGACGAGGTACACTTGAGTATAACTTAAATGTTTAACAATGGTTACGTTTTATTTCTTCATTTTTTTGGGAAAATATTTATTAATATGGCTAGCACATGGAAACATTTGCAAAGATAACGACAGAAAATTATTGTTGGAGACACCTCATTATTGTCTTTTTTTATGAAGACAAGTGATGGGATGAGCAAGCCATGCCTGGTTTTAAGCAACACATCCGTCCATTGTAGTTGCAGTGCCGGTCAGAGCTTTAACGCTCAACTCGCACTGGCGCAGAATCGAAGCGTCGCGTCGCGTCCTGTTTTTCGACTACAACGCCTGGCGAGACGATACTCGCATTAGCGCGCCCGGATCACAGTGTGGTCGGCGTCTGAAGCCTCACTGTGCTCAAATAACGCGCGACTACACGCGTCGGCGTTACTTAAATTTGTAAACCTTAATTATGGGAAAATAGAGATGAATATGATATAGACGAAAAATATGACGCGTCGCGACGCTTCGACTCTGCGCCAGCGTGAGTTGAACCTAAGTTACTAGGGACACTGCCATTGCGCCCGTCACTGTGAGACATAAGTTAACAAGTCTCATGTGCTTGTAATTTCATCAGCGCCCTTACCCTTCAAAACCGTAACGCAGTAATGCTCATATTACTGCTTGGCGACGGAAGTAGGTAAGGTGGCAGTACTTCCCTGGCCGAATTCTTTTACAAGTAGCTTTCCTGCTACTGAATTTACTATTTATTTATGTCCTATACTATTTACATTGATTGTTCTCTGTAATTGGTTAGAGATGCAAAACACAGGACATAAGTACCACATAACAGGGGACCATTGTGCCCGACCGTCTGTTGAAAATAAAAAAGATTAGGGTTAGGGTATTTAAAAACAACCTTTCGTATAAAGATTGCTTAAACAAAATCCTATCAAGATTTGTATGTAACTACGATACGACAAACTATAGGGCGTGTCCAGGCCAGGGGAAATGGAACTAGATAGAATCTATTACGGTCATCGGGTAGCTTCCCCAAATATGGGCAATGTCGACCCACTCGTTGACGGACGCGCGGAGTTCCGTCTGGTGAACACTATTTACCTGCTTACTTTACTGTGGATAGTAAAAAGGCTACTGCACCTAAGAAATCTTTGTCTGCTATTTCGATAACATCGCAGTAAATGTGGTACTAAGTAGCCCCATACTATAGTGTGTATATAGCTACGGTGTCAATACCATACAATGTGTTTTAATGCTTATAAGTACAAAATAGCCAGATAAAAGAAAACTGAGTACGACTGTCGCCTTATTGTTAGTTAGCTATCTGTTTTTGTTTCCTGTTAATGTTAAGGAGGCATAATAAATACCTATATAAAATAAATATATAAAAAATATTACTAGTATTTTGCTGTATAATTCAAGGAAGGACTTCACATTACAAATGCAATGTGGATTTTGCTAGGAATACAAAACTAAAAAGGAACAACTAAATATTAGTCTTTGTATCGTCTAATTTAGCATATTATTAAATTAATTAAATTAAATTAATTCAATTAAATTAATTCAATTAAATATTATTTACATAATTTATTAAATTAGAATGCTCACGATTCCAATTAGGAAATCGTGGACTATTGAGTTTCGTCCAACAGCCAAGGTAGTTATGGCCCCGCAAAATAGCAATTGCTACATAGGTAATTACAGCCATGACAAAATGGTGATTATGTTCCAGTGAGAAAATAGTGACGCAAAAAATGACGATTAGCATATTATTAACTGTATTTGACTAAATATTATTAATCAATTTAATAAATTAGAAAGATCGACATTCTCTTCAGTTCGTGAATACTTATTATGTTTCACTGCCCAGTAGGTACAGCTGGCCATGCAAAATAGCAATAAATTGCTGTATAATTATAACCATGACAACATGATGATATATGTCCCGGTGGGAAAATAGAGACGCGACAAATGCCGATTTACGACAAAAGATAGTCGTGAAAAGAGTAAAAGCCGGCTTTCCCGCCGTTGTCGGCCACACCGCGACCTACAACGAAGGCTGACGGCACACATTGAACTTGAAATCCTGCTAGCATTGTACTATAACTGGTTGTTTTACCCTGTTTTTGAATAAAAAATATTTTCATTTCAAATAAAGTAAAAGGTAAAGACGTAAGTTTCTCTATATTTTTGTACGTGGTTTTTACTTGGTTTGTTCAGTATATAATATTTTAAACACTACCTTTATTTAAAAAAAAAAAATCTAACATTAGTTAAACTAGCTTTTCTACTTGACTAAGCTACTGACCTAATCTCAAACTGTTTTTCACAATACCTATCTAAGGAAAAATGCAAGTTCATACTACACCAGATATCTGTATGTGGAAGTTTCCTGCTGCACTTCTTTTTTTCCGAGTCTGGCCGTGTGCACTCTCTAGGTTGTTTACTTACTAAGCTGCGGTACATCTCATGCAATTTAATGAAAGTAAAATTAGTCCACTAAGATCAACGACCGGGCTCTGACATACTGCTCTTGACTCCGGCCGCACCTATGAATACCACCCGGCGGCGGATCTTGTTCTCTCGCGACTTCCATTACGGACTTTCTTACTTTATCGCCTACGCATACCCACACTTTACAATCAATAGTCATGAAAATGAAAATTACCAACATCCCAAACAGTAAAATTAAAATTTGTATTCAACACAATATCTAAATCTTGTTTTGCAACGTAGTGGTCATTGCGGTTTTTGTTTCAACCACATTAGTATTTCTATGTACTGAAAATTATAAGTATTAACCCGACTTATTAGTGTTTTCCACAAGAGACTAGTATACACTTACTCGTTTGAAATTGATACTTTAGTGCTTTCGTACAGGTAAGTAATAGCATGACGGTTTTCCCTATAAGTATAGAAGTAATTTGTAACTTTCGTAATAACACCCAAATTCCCAGATAAATATCTCAAATTAATCTCTGTTTCAAACTTTCTCTCAATTCTGTTATTACATAACCATCTCCCTAGTGATCAATTCGGGTCCAATCTAAAATAATTGCTGGATTTGCCCAACAAGACGTGAAGGAACCTTTACAAGCCCACTCATAAATCTTTATCGAGACAAAATACATCTGTGGGGGCCAATACTTTCTAATTTCGTAGCTGGAGGCGAAACAAATGAGTATTATAAAAGTCTTGTCGATTCGTTAATGTCCGATTGAAAGAGACACCTACTACGAATGTATCTCAGTAAATTACAAGTTCAATCATTTTAGTTTTACATTACATAGTAAACCACAGTTATTGGGTAAATCGATTTTTTTTGCATCGCTTTCGAGATCTTATTTTGTCGATTGCAAATTAAACAGAATTATGATTGTTATTGTGGTATTAATAACCATTAAAGTTTCCAGCCCGTAATACGTATTATAAATCAAATACTTACACTTTCTTTATCTCACAATTACATTACTTGCTATTTTAGGTTGTGTCTATAGATCATTTTCATATTCTTGAGTGTGTACTATAGATATGGTATGGGTTGAACAATACTACAATACTACGGGTTTTCAATAAAAAGTAAGTAAGTATTTGTGGTATAAGAATTATAGTGCGCTTCTAAATAGAAGAACAGGCAGTATAAATGGTATCTTATTAGTTCACACAAAGAACGTGTTATTTTCCTAAAAAAACCTTGTAGAACTGGTTGCATGGAAAATATTCGGAAACTAGGGCGATCCGATGAGCGATGACTTAAATCAAATGGGGGACCAGATTCACAACTTTCACATAGTCGGTCTATTGGAACTGCACAGGAAATTGGAATCTGTCGTCTTGTTGCAATCCAAGTGATCGGCTGGGTTTAGTGATTTGACGTTCGCTTGGTATTTATTGTTTTGGTATCAATAAAATTTCCCACTCTATGAAAATTTAATAACCTTGCAATATATATGCAGATGTATCAGACTACGAATAATAAACACTGACTACTCTCTAGGACGACACGTGTTCACACCACAACGTGGTTAAATGCTAAGTACGGTAGACTAACCCAGAATGTGGTGAATCCGTATCCGTTGTCACATAACTTCTGACACAGGTGTTAACTGGCAACGAATATTTAAAACGGTCAGTGTGTCGTATTAAATAACACTTAAGATATTGCCCACGCGCAGAGAAAGTTGTCCGGGGAACAAAAAGAGGCAATTTTCGTGTCAGAATAAGATATGAGATTTAAGAAGCACTCTGTGTTTATGACCGAAACGTTCCATTGTAACGAGTATTCATTTTGGCCATTATTTGTATAAATAATGTCAAGCGGCTTTCTTTGAGTCCAAATGTTGCTTCAAGTACCAAAAATGCGATTAATGCTACAGCTGCAGCTTTTACAGATTGAAATTTGACAATTCAAATGATTAATACCCGTAAAGTTTATTATTGTCTTTCGTCATTGTCAAGACTTTAATTTAACAAACCTAAGATAGTATTACTACATTTTGAAGAGTTTGTTTTAACAAGAATTTACATGAAAGTAATAACATATTCCCCATTCTTCTTTCCAGGGTGGCACACTCAGCGATCAATCATCGAACGAAGGCGGAGGTGGCGGTGGAGGCGCGGGCTCAGACTCGAATAGCGCCGCCGAGCCGTCAACAGATCAACTTGCTATGGAATCGTCTGAAAGAGAAACTCCGAGCCACGCGTACAATGGACCGCCCCCGCCGGTACCACCACCACATAATAGGAGACAGAACCAACAGCATCATCAGCCACACCATTCCTTAGGTAACATCCCCGATAACATTTGGATGAGAATAGCTGCTACCTACCTGTCATAAATATTTATTGTGAAAGTTGTAAGACGAACATGTATTTTTTTCTAGGTATGCCAAGGATTCCCAATCATCATCCTGTTCATACGAAGCCATTTGCTCTTGGACCTCCAGTCAACCATCATAAGAATGACATTGGGCCCGGTTTTCGAGGTCCTCCCCCGCCTCCAATTCCACCCAGTGATGTTCAAACTGCAGCCAGTGATAAGGTCTTCAGCACTGCCGGAGACGTCTGGCCTGCACCAGCTCCTGACATGCCAAAGATTGTTTCTCTCGACGTAAAATGTGAAAAGAATGCCATGCGTGTATTTCTAAGTTTTGACAAACCTTTCTTCGGTATTGTATTCTCCAAGGGACACTACTCTAACCACCAATGTGTCCATCTTCCGCCTAATTTAGGAAGATCACAAGCTTCTTTCGAGATTGGTGCTCACGCTTGTGGAACTGCGGGAAGTGGTGATCCAAGATATCGAGGAGATGTTGCTGCCGCTGGAACTTATTTTGAAAATGTTATAGTAATTCAGTATGATCCACAAGTACAGGAAGTTTGGGATCAAGCCAGAAAATTGCGTTGTACTTGGCATGACCAATATGAGAAAGCTGTGACTTTCAGACCATTCCCTGTGGATATGTTGGATGTTGTGCGAGCTGATTTTGCCGGTGATAACGTTGGTTGCTGGATGCAGATTCAAGTGGGAAAGGGACCTTGGGCTTCTGAGGTATCGGGTTTGGTCAAGATTGGTCAGACTATGACAATGGTTCTGGCGATCAAAGACGACGATGCGAAATTCGACATGTTGGTCAGAGATTGTGTAGCTCACGACGGTCAACGCGCTCCTATACAATTAGTCGATAGGCGAGGCTGTGTAACACGACCGAAATTAATGTCTCGATTCACAAAGATCAAGAACTTTGGAGCTAGCGCCTCTGTGCTTTCATATGCACATTTTCAAGCGTTCAAGTTCCCTGATTCCATGGAAGTTCATTTCCAGTGTACGATTCAGATTTGCAGATATCGCTGCCCCGACCAATGTTCAGACGGACACAATGTTATCGCACCACATGCTGAATATGGACCTCCTCAGATTGATGCTTATCCTGTTGGTGCTGAAGCAAGACGTGATGAGCGAAGAGTTAGGAGGCAACGCCGTGGTACCACTCCTGAAAAAGAAGTCGGCGTTAATAGGGTTATCCGTGTTGTCTCAGCTGGTGACTTGAACATGGATTCTGCTGAAGAAAATGTACCAACAAAAATAGTGCCCACACCTGGTTTAGTATGTATGACGACTCCTGGATTCGCTGCGACACTTGGTGCACTTCTTGCCACGTTGATATGCTCATGTGCTGTATCTGTTGTCCTATTTCTGAAACTTCGCCCCGTTACAGCTTTGAAAAAGAAGACCGCCACTGTGTCGACGATAGCTCGACCACATCCGCCTACTGCTGCACATGTAATCTCAAAAAGTCGGTTCTACTCGTAACGGCATCTGCATAACGTAATTTTGTACATATTAGTGTGATGAGACTGAAGTATGTAGACCATGCCAATTTATTTATTTGTGTGTTATCAAGTGCTCAATCTGTTTTTAATACGATTCCGTGAACTCGTTTATTTAGACTTATTTATTGAATTAATTTAGCCAATCGCCGTGAAGAAGCTTCAGTTAAATCCTTTCCTATTCGAGTTGGAGTTATAGGTTTTATGTTATTTAAACTGATAAGACGAGAAATCTAGTTCAATCATATGAACGTAGGTGATATTTGTCACAAATACAAACTAGTATTAAATTTAAAAAATATATTAAGTACAATCTTCTGTTACCTCTATTCGAATAGTTAAATTTGAACTAGGGGCAACGGAAAATATAAAATACGTGGTATAACAACATTTAGGTGAACCGCTAGCTGTAATTATTAAAATAACTTGTCATTAGTATTAATATTATTTATTTTAATTAAGTTGGTCGTTGTAGTCATTACTACGTGTAAATTATTTATTTATACCACCTGAGTACCTCTAAGCTCTTCATCTGTTTTTAATTTTATTTTCTTGTTGATTAATTGTCATGTTTATCAAGTTTATCGTTGTTTCGAAGTGTATTTTACATTTGTGTATTTTATACTTCATAGGTATTGTTTTGTTTGTTGCTATATACGAGGAATCAACTTAATACTCATTAATCATGGGCCAGTAGCCACTACTTTTTCAAATAACATTTTATAAAAGTGAAACTTGACTGCGATTTTGTGCCTAAATTATGTTGTTGGCCGTCATGCATTTTAAACAATAGATTCTAAACCAATAAACAATCTTTAAAGAAATATGACTTATTATATTACAATATTTGTTATTTTCTTAGTCTTGAGTCTTATGTACAACGAGAATATTTAAAAAATTAAACTGTCTGAAATATGCTTGGATTGTTTTATTTGTTCCTTAATAGCTGTACTTATAGGGCCTAATTTACCATACTAAACATGCAATAGCCTGAGGGCGACCAAACACACATTGCTATCGAATTGACACTTTTATGTTTTAGGGTAACCTATCACAAACTCGAATTTATTTTTTCCGAAATAACGTTTGTTCGAATTTTCATTACCCCTAAAATTGAATTATAATGAAATCTTTGTTTTTTCAGGATATCGCACTGTTAATACAATAATGTGTACTTTTTCAGAATCGATGAAAACAAATTACTCACTTCTGAAAGATTATTAAAATTGTATGTAGAGGTTAAAGTTTATTACAGACATGTAAACAATTTTCTATTCGTCAAATATATTTGAAAATGATAGGGAAAACATAATTTAATATTTTTACTAAGGACTTTTTATTCAGAAATAGGTCACAAAACACTGTGTCATATCGAGTTAAGTACATATGTTTTTATATTTCTCATAATATTGTTATGATAGTTGTATTGACGTGTAGAGATTCAAAATTTACGTTCAGCAATAGCATAACCTTGAATTTCACATATTTAGAGTTACAACACTATTGCACTAGCAGTGCAATATATTGGATGTTTATTGCAAAGACACGGTTAGTTTGGTTTAAAAGAAAAATCATTTTCCTCTCAAAATTACTTTCGAGGTTATGAAAATTTCGATCAAACATCGAGCAAAGGTAACTATGTTTTAGTCGTAAAAATGATGAAATGGAGGTGTCCTTGAAACCCTTCGGCCCTGCATAACTGCCTAGTTCACGTATTTACTTACATAGGTAGGTAGGCATAGTAGTTATATTTTTTCGACAATCTCGTCGTTCCATTCCATGGTCCGCTCCATTTTCACCCAGAAAAGTCATTTATTTTTTATATTTTTAATCGTGCTGCTGTCCGCATATAAAGCTAAACATTGACAGATTTTATCCTTTTGGTCTGGAAGCGATATTCAAACAAAAGTGTATAACTTAATATACTGTTGACTGTATGTGACATCTGCAAAATGAGCAAAAAAATCTATATAGGTTTATTCACGTTGTTCTGTTTTGTAGATTGTAAATTTTAAAATGAAATAAGCAAAAAAAAGTTACCGTTATTGACTCTATAAGAAGAGAATAAAAGAAGAAAGATAATAGGAACTTAATTTCTAATTCACTTTTATAATACATAAAAGCAGAATTTTATTAAGGTTTTGATTTCCAACACACGGTCGGTAGCTTTTGGGAAAAATACACGAAATTATGTTTCAACATAAATTTTATTCCATTAAACAAATTAACAGGTGCTTACGCGTTAAACACATCTTCACCACATTCATACAGAGAAATTGATAAATTATAACATGTGTTATTCGTAAACCCAAAGAAACAGAGTAGTAACGAGAATCATTATAATTATATGAACGGACTACATTACAAGTATAGTGCGCTATTAAATATGACAAAGAAATAGAGGTAGCAGTACCAGCTGACATTGATTAACCACTGGAAATAGGCAAACTAAATACATTTTAGCGAAAAGCTTAAATTTCGACACCTAATATGTCTTAAAATGCAATAACAACTTGAAACAATCAGATTATGCCACAGCGCACTTCGACATATGAATTGTAAATTCAAAATTCGTATTGAATGATTTTATTAATTGACAATTTTATGAACTCTTACTTCAATCTCAAACACATAAATGGTTAATAACCATGTGACCAAAAAAAGTAAAATACGTGACTCTCAATTACTCAGAAACGAAAGAATAGAACAGAACCAAATACCCTAAAAAAGAACAGAAAGTAGAACAAATCCTATTTAATAAAAATACGAACACTGAACTCACGCAGTTCAAACGTAAAATATTAAAATTGCACACGGGAGACATCTCACGGAACTTGTGAGAACTTAAATAAATTCAGCTATAATAAATGCAAGATTTTTGGGTGGCATTATTTATCTTTTGCAATGATTGAAAGACCGACCCACAACGATAATTCGAAATATTGTCGAAAGTATATTTTAGTTGCATAGAATAATAAATCTCCGGTATGATAGAAAGAAACATGAGCATGTTCCTAGTATGGTGTTACTACATTTTTTTTCACAAAATTACGTAGGATTGTTTTGAAATACTCAAAGTTATCTTTAAGAACTGCTTTCCCGAGGCAAAATATACAAGGAACAACAAAACACGGGGCGATATCTCCGCAATGACCGAGTAAAATTAGTATTGTAAATTATGAAACAAAAGTTAAAGCTCATTGTTGAATGTTATGTTTTCAACCGACATACACAACAGAGCATACACAATACACATAACTATATCTCCTTCTTTTGATAAACTTAGACAGAATTGTTTAGGTCCGATTCAAAAGATACATGTTCCCGATATGTGATGTCTTCAGTTGAGCACAAAGTCCAAAAAGCTGTGGCCGCAGGAAAAAAAACTCTTTTGATTTTTCTGCCCTCTTTATCGTAACTAATTTTATTATTAAGCAAAATCAGCGTATTGATATATTTTACTAGCAAAAAAACATTAGGTGCTAATTTAGAAAATTAAAGAAATGCAAATGCGTTAGTTACGATAAAGAAGGCAGTTTTAAGCGCAGGCCACACCGCGAGCGAAGCTAAGCTAAGTTAACTTAGCTCACGTAGCTGCATGCAACCAACTATGTGACCTTAGCTCGGTTAGCTTAGTTGGCGGCGTGAATAAATGTAAAAACTAGCCTAAAAAGCTAAGTAAGCTTCGCTCGCGCAGCGCTTTATCTGCAGTGTCGGTCTCTCAAATCGTTAAATATTTTAAATTAATCCTACAGATCTAAATTTATACTAGTCATAGCTATGTCATTAAATATTTTCATATAAAAATTATTTATACTTGAGCAAAATTAGGATATAGTTAAAACATGGTAAGTAAGAATAAATACAACTGCAAGATAAATGCAAAGTTTAGAATGTTTAGAAGTAAAAACTAAAAACTATTGTAGCTTCATTGGTGTTTCTAAGAGTACACTATGTAACTACGTATATAGGTACTATGTCGATGTATGTTACAAAATGTTTACATTAACTAGAATGTAGTAACTAAAGTATATGTTTAAGGATTAACTCGAAACGATGAAGTATTAAAATGTCTAAGAGAGTTTCTCCGATATTTTGTCACGTTTATGAATTATATACCTACTCGTACATTTGTGTAAGTATATGTAGGTACACATCTATAAAAAGTGACGGGGCTTAGTAGATGAGGTATACTTATCGAGTTCTTAGGTTTTCGCGATTGCTATACATAGGAAATGAAACTATTTTTTCAGATCTAAATCGTTTGAAAATAGGTTTTTTTCAAACAAAGCAACCTTTCGGACAGCAAACGTTGGTTTGTTTGAAAACACAAATATACGCGACTTAGATCCAAAAAAATTGTTTCATTTCCTATGAGGTACACTTGTTTTTATTTACTCAAGTTATGGAAATAAACACGATTGTGAACTGATAGAAGTGTGATAAATTTAATATATTTGGAGAAGGTGCTCTTAGTAAACTTAAATAACTAAACTAACAGAAATATACTACACAAAAAAGCCTCAGCACAGAGGAAAAGCTTAAAAATCTACGATTTTGATATCAAAATCAAGAGTTGCATATCCGTACTCTGTTGAGCCGAAATGTTGAGCATTTTGTTAATAAAATTGGAATGTATGTTGTAGACTAACTAAACTTAACCTAATGGCATGACTCGACGTTTATACTTATCAACTAGATTGAAGTATACGAAGGCCCTTGATTACTAGACGCAGATACGCCGTGGGATCTCTAATCTTATTGGCTTGGTTCCAAAGTCGGGCACAAGCCAATTGGGGTAAGCAAAAAGAGAACTATGTATAAACAACCAATAGAATTCCATTGTATTCCATCGTCAAAAACGATATCCTACTGGTTGTTTAAATAAAATATAAATTTCCTTTTGACTCGAATAGCTTTTACGACTCTTGATGTTTTTTTATTGTTCTGATTATGACGAGCTTGTAACGTTAGTTGAGGTAAAAAAATTGCACGAAAACAACACCGTAACGTAAGTCGCTTTGATTCTCATTGATACATAATGTAGAGTCGAAGGTTATAGAGTTGTCAAACAAAAATAATAAAACAGTACCTGCGTCAATTAAAGTTAGGCCGTTAGAAAAAAATACGTTACGTATTTGAAATTCTAGAAAATACAAAGTAATAATTTGAAAAATAAACCATTCCTTTAAATTAAAAGAAAATAACTTATTAAGGACATAAATAGCCATATTTAAATATTACATAAATAGATAATACATATTATTTTGAAGAAATGGTCGAGTTTTCAATATTACAACAATTTCTATTTCTCGCGATGTAAAGTACTAGAGTATAAAAATGCAAAAATCTGTACATTTCTTATATGTATAAAAATATAATATTCACAACAGTGAAAACTGAAAAATTAGGTTGTTTAGGACTTTGTCCGAAGCACGACTTAGCACCATCGGTTTAATAAAGGCGTTTTTATACAATCCAAATGTTACCACTGACTGCTCAGAGAGCATATTCAAAATGATTAAATGTTGAAGCACGTAAGCTTGTAAACTTGTTATCTCCATGCATTAAGAAATAGGAACAAGTTTCCAGATAAATACACGTACATAATATGTTATCTTTTTGTACATACAGGCAGGGGCAAGTTTGGTGGAAACGATGTTCCGGAACGATGTTTCACGAATTTAATTTCCACGTGATTGAGTCGCGTTTTTTTGCTACATTTATCTGCCTTAGATTTATCTCTTTGTTTTTCGTCCTGTGAACGCCTTTCATTACTATTCATTGTTTTACCATTCGCCCGAGGGGCGGAGTGAGGTAGTTCATTTCGGTGCTGGGTGTGGAATGACCATTCTACATGGAGAATTGTGTGTTACGTATTCCGTGACGCTACTTATAAGTATAAAAACTCTATAGAAATACAGTATAAATAAATTTTGAAAAAAAAAAACTATACAAAAATATTATATCTATTTTTTCTTTGACTGACCATAAAGTTTTCTTTCATAGACAAAATATTTTTTGCATTAAATTATTATTAACTGAATATATTATACATTAATAAAAATAAAACTAAAAGCAGTACAAGTAACAACATTTGATCAAGCTATTACATTATTCTTTTTACAAAAAAACGCGACATTTGCTTTGAAAGATGCCCATGTACGATATTTTATTGATAAGTTTACACAGTATACAATAAGGGAAAAAAGTTATAGAAATCAACAAATGCTTTAATTAAATAGCGGTGGTTTAGAATTAGGTAGATACAGACAAGCTGCAGAAAATAAAAATTGGGTCTAGCCTAAGTCCCTATGGAACACTCGTACGATTTATATACGAACGAAAATAACTAGGCAAGTAAATAGATATAAATATGATAGTACTATCATGACAACTTGGGTAATGTTCAGGTTAGTTTACCTAATTTCGGCGGCAAGTTTTATTGTGTATGTATTCGAGTATTTTATTTTGAATTATTATATAATATTTCAGGTTACTCCACTGGAACATTAAATAATACCTAATAATAATATTATAGAATATAATAAAAAATTGCCACCAAAATTGAGTAGAGAAAACTAATCTGAAAATTACTAATTTATAACTTTAACAAAACTGAAGAAAATAATTGCTTCACAAAAGATTCTATTTACTAATTATATATTATTATTAATTAAAGAACAAGTTTAAATCACACTCACTGATAAAATATTAACTCTAAGACCGACAAAAACAACTGTAAAAGGAAAACAATAATCTAAGACAAGAAAAACGCGTTATTGTCATTCATCACACATGGGTAAGTTTCAAAAGTCGCAATAGAACTAGCAGTCTTAGGAGGTCGGTCGTGGGATCAGCCGTCGCGTGAATGGTGGGGGTGTGGGGGGGACCCGAGTAGTCTTAGCGCCATCCATGCCGCGAGCGAGTGAGATGCGCTGGCTGGCGGTACTGTAAGGACAAAGAGAGAGTATATTAATTTATACAGGTACCTGGACATAATTATTGAAGGCAGGAAGATCTTCGATAGAGTACATCTTCGTTAGGACCTATGCACACGATAAAATTTTTATGCGCGAACAACTTGCGTTTCACGAGCGTGCGTGCTTTGAGGCTTAATAAAAAGTATGCAAAAGTTTATTGGCTGCGACTGAATCTCATTTGCGTGTCGTACGCGCGTAAAAAGTATGCCGTATGCAAAGGATCTAAGGTTTTTCCAGTGACATAATTTGACTTTAGGTTTTTAATAACAAACTTAGTAGTAACTTGTCACGAAGATCTTAATCTTCGCGAGCCAATTTAAAGATAATCAAAACATTCATTAAATGATTGTCACTAGTAACAGGTTTCTTACCACGGTATAACTTATAATATATATATAAGTTACATATGTTTTGTAGATGAATGTTTTGTAGATTTTAAGACTTTCGTGGTTATTCACTAAATGATTGTCACTAGTAACAGGTTTCTTACCACGGTATAACTTATATATATATACTAGTAACAGGTTTCTTACCACGGTAT